ATATATATATATATATACATATTGTGAGTAATTTATTTCGAGTTCACGAACGGTTTAGAGTGAAATAGCGTTATACTTTATATTATCAAAGTAGTGTAATAGCTTTCAAGATTATGAGTCCTGATCACCTGATAACCTGAACTTATATAGTCTTAACCTAGACATTGCCTGTCGTCAGGTCCATCTGGTTACTGACACTACATCTCATTTCCTGAGGGCCCGGTCTCTTCTGTAGTCCGTCACTCATCACTATATTTTACACTACTTTATGAACTACACTACTTTACAGTTTATGCTCTTGTTCTATTGTTGGCCAACACATACCGAATCAGCTGTATGCATAAAATACTCAGATGAACTATACTCAGATGAACTATACTCAGAAGAGCTATACTCAGATGAACTATACTCAGATGAACTATACTCAGATGAACTATACTCAGATGAACTATACTCCGATGAACTATACTCAGATGAACTATACTCTGATGAACTATACTCAGATGAACTATACTCAGATGAATTATACTCAGACGAGCTATACTCAGATGAACTATACTCAGATGAACTATACTCAGATGAACTATACTCCGATGAACTATACTCAGATGAACTATATTCAGATGAACTATACTCAGATGAACTATACTCAGATGAACTATACTCAGATGAGCTATACTCAGATGAACTATACTCAGATGAACTATACTCAGATAAACTATACTCCGATGAACTATACTCAGATGAACTATATTCAATCAGATAACGGACGTATCATTGTGACGGGTGGTCTATGGCCGTGGCTCGTCCTGGATCATAGAGACAGCGAGTACAATAACTAACTCACACATTGTAGTTGCAAACGAATGTATTTTAACTCAGGTGTAGTATACTGATACGTATCTGTTATACACCAGTGGTGACATGTGAATAGCAAACGTCATGCAATGTATTTAACTGTGGCGTTTCATCGCGTGCGCCAGAATGTGGACGGTCTTGAAGAACGGGCGGGAGTGAGTGCGGCAAAGATCATCTACAGCCACGGACACATGCAGACATACAGATGTACCAAATGCAAGCGTCGATGTAGGTAAGTTGCAGGGCTCTCTTATCCCGTGTGTATAGATGTGTTGTTCAACGGGA